CACGCCAGAACGGATTAACGGTAATTACATTGAACCTTATGGGGAAATTTCCTTCGGATTGTGACCAATTCGGGTTGCAACCAGAGTCATGGAACGAATTAAGTTCGTAAACCGAGGTTCCACTGTACTTAAAAAATACCTAGCATAGTCAGAATTGAGCGTGAGGCAAGAGTGATATCCTGCCTCCGTGCAATCTGAATACCTATTAGTTCTTCAATAAGCTTCAGACTAATGTTTTTGTCCTGTTGGGTTAGCGAGATAACTTTATTTTATGTATAAAATAAGTTTAGAATCGCATGGTTTGCTGTTTTACATTTTCATTTTTTTCCCCTGAATTTTTCAAGTGTGAAGATGAAGGGAAAGCTCTGGTCACTGTAGATGTATGAAAGTTATGTATTTGGAAGAAAACTCTGGATCTTTAAGATAGTTTTGAAGGCCTGCAAGGAAGGTATTCCAATTAGACAAACAGCTTTTCTAAAATAGCATTATATTATAGCATGAGCTACTATCAGTAGCATAAAGTAAATTAAGGTATGCCAAAATTCATGTGGCCTTATAGGCTAAAACTTGGAGAGAAAAAATATTAATGTTATAACCACTCATTAATATTTACTATTATATAACTATTCAACTTTTTAAAATCCTAATTGCACTGAGTTTAGAAATACTACTCTATAACAGTAAGAATAAGAAGGCAATAATGTTGCTACACTAAAAGAAAATAATTCATATTACCAATGTAGTATCTTTGTTCTTTCTCTGGCATGTGCAGCATAATATGTATAGTACTATAAAATCAAGTCTGTTCCAATATGGTTAAGAGAAAATGCAGAGAATGCAGTGGCCACAAGATGGCATGGTAATCTTATAATCATTATACATTTTCATAAAGTTTACAAAAAACACTTACAAAATATAACTTTTAAATTCACAGGGAACACCTATTTTCACATTCTGATTTGTAACTATAACTGACAACTTTGCCAATTTGTAATCACATAATAAAAGGGAACAAAAATATTATACACCTCCAGTAAATCATTGATTTAAGGGACCCATAGGAGGAAGAAAAGTCTGTTAGAACCGAATGTCCATTAAATTTGAATGGGATTTGAAACAGGCAGAAAATGTATTATGTTTGGGTAAAATAGTGAATGGGAGTTTACGTATCTATAAAATGGCATTATGCCTATGTAAACTGGAAAGCAGATTTTGTCTCTACAACAGAAATCCAGCAAATTAAAGGTTTACATTTCATATTTTATATTTTCTCATCCTGATTTACCTTTCAGTCATTACTGGTCACTAATATAAATAATTTAATCATTATTTTCTTATCTAGATGTATTTTAAAAGATCATTCAGAATTAAATATTTTGCAGTATATCTCATATGAGCAAGGTATATTTTATATTCTGGATGATCTGCCTTGCACGTCTATGGGGTTGATTTAAAGCATCACTGTTGAACTCATATATTTCAATTTTCCCTTAGTAAACTCTCTGCTACCTTCATCTTCAGAAAATCTAAGATGGCACCATGATCATCTAGCAAATACATACAATGTTCAACTCCATGCATATCATAATTTATGCATGGAGAATATGTGCATATATCTCCTAACCATAACAAACACAAACTAACTGCAAATGAGTTGTTGTTGTTGTTCAGTCGTTAAGTCGTGTCCGACTCTTCGTGACCCCATGAACCATATTGCGCCAGGCCTTCCTG